TAAAAAATTACTGAGGAACTGACTGTCCATTCTGTACAATTTAGAAATTATTCCAACAGTTTCATGTTTGTCTTGAAAAATACCTGTCAACTGGTAGTCTGAAGTTTCATAACATGATAAATTCTATTAAATATATGCAGTAAAAACCTGTTCTAATTCGCACCTAAGCAGTCATTGTCACATAATCCTAAGTAGTATTCACATGAAATATCTAGAGATTGTGGCACAAAAATATTTTCATTAAAATAAAAAATATGATTTCGCTTCATACAATTTTTCCCCTGAACAAAACAGGAACAATAAATTGAGCAGGATAACATGATGTCCTTTTATTTTGTGAGATCTTGTCAACTGCAACAACCTAAACAGCTTTAATATCAGTATATAAAATATTCATATACTCCAATTAATTAGCTAGAAAATGAAGACCATTAATAATTAAATACAAAGAGTTGAAAGAAAAGAACTAAATATCTCAGTAAGATTGTTGGTATATGATGAAAAAAGTTACAAGAATACTGTAGAGTCAGGAAGAAAAGTTGAACACTGTTTAGAGTTGGAAAAAAATTAATGTGAGTTTGTGGTTCAATGGTAGGACATTACGCAGTCATGCACGTTGTTCAAGTTCTATTTCTAGATGGTGCACTTCTAAACCTTATGTAGTTTACTAGTTGATAGTGATCCCCTAGAAGATGGAAGGTCAAACATAAAGCTAGCAACCCCACCACATAAAAAGAACACCAACTTGAAAGCTTGAAGCTTGGAGCAGTATGTTCCACTACGAACTCAAAAACAATGAAGAAACGGTCCTAACCACTTTCCCATAGTAGCAAGTCATCAATTTCTCTTGAGTAGAAGGTGAAAGTTTTTCTTTGATTTCGATAACACGGTACAGTTGAAGTTGAAGGATTAAGCTATTAGATATACTTAATATTGTTTGGTTGCATAAATTTAAGTCAGTAAACAGTAATTCAAACTTGTGTTCCACATTTAAATAATTGAACTATAGGTTCACTTGAATGTGAAATGTGCATATCCACTTTGATAATTAGAAATCCCTAAATGGTATAAAGTATGATTAGACGATTAGAGTTTAGAATTTCCTCCCAGTTATCTTTTCGCAAACAGCAACATTAATATCACCTCTGATCCATCTACTGCATATAATTTTTTAAAGTCAAAGATATAACATCATTACACTTACGGTAGTCAAATATAAAGGGAATAACAAAGATAAAACTACCTGGTGCCGTACTGTACTCATCTAAGTAGAATTAACTTAGATTAACCAAACCAAGAAGAAATCAATGCTATTCACAGTTAACACAAATTTACCATGATGGTTTTTAATAATATACATCTACAATATGCCCTATTTTAAAATTTTTCTCTCCTACTTCCGGAGATGTCTTTTGGTTCACTGTATTAATTTAACCTAGGAAAAACTACTAGTAAGTCATTCAGCTTGCAATAAAACACAACAGCATCATAATAGTTCATATATTTCACTGCTAACAAGTTTTCTATAAACTTTATTCATCAACCCTTATGTCTCATCAGTAGGATTTGTAATATTATAATATTATAAATTATGCAACCACATATTAAGCGAATTCAGTCTTGGACATTAAAAAAATGTCAGTTTTATGTTTCATGTAATTAATGCACATATGTTAAACAGTAAAGGATGTTGAAAACACGTGTTTATGATGAGTATGTACATGAACAATATCAAGGAAAACAAACAGAAAGCAGACAAGGGTCTACATTTTCATGTATATCAACAAAAACATAACTTAAACAGCAACTATTCCTTTTGTTTATAAGCTTCATTTTGGTAAGATTCAGATTTAAAGCCTAGTTCAAACTGTCATGTCAAAAAAGTTGGTATCCGTTCCTTCTTAACTAATAAATAATTAATTATCAATTTATTCTGCTTTAACGACATTATTCACCGACTCGTAATATATATTACGGCTGAAAAACTGGCCGGAATCTGTGGAGAACAAAACATTCTTAGCGGACCGATCAAATCACTGAGCTACGTGATTTTCTATCCATCAAGATGCGGCTTGTTTACTCCGTCTCACATTGTTTCAGTGATCTAGTTACTACACTGAGACACAATCTGTTCTCGTTCACAATTTCAAATAAGTTTCTGCTGACCAAGGAGAATTCCTCGAAGGAAATGGGAGAAGAACATTGTGGGGAAGTACTGGAACAACGTTCCTTCAGGTGATATATTATTTGAAGATGCTATACAATGAGTGAATACCTTGGAATGAAACTCTGTGAAAATTCTGGATTGCGTATAAAGGCTTTCTCCAAAATAAAGCTATTATTATTACTTATACTTCTTGCTTACTAATGGCAACAAGAATGAAACAGGTTACATTGTCCCACAGTGAGTAACAGTACTGTCACAGAACTGTGCACCTAGTCGAAAAACCGAGGTCAGTACTCTTAAGAATAGACAGCTACACTCATTACAGTTTGATATTTAATTCCTAAGGGAACTGAACAGCTTGAACAGAAGCAGAACGACACTTGAATCCCAGATAATTTTGGTTCATCTTATTTTAAAGGCCTTTATTATGGCTTGTTTGAAATCGTAAATAAGTCATAAGTAGAATATTTTATCCTATTTTCATGACTCTCTGATTGTACTAGCGACCAGGAAAATGGTTTCGTTGTACAGTGGAATTGTCGTTTAATTTCACTTCAGTTTCATTCGGTGTGGAGATAATGTTTTGTCTGTCCCACCTTGTCTTTATTGAGGATAGAGTTGAATATAGAAATGACAAAAAGTGGTGTACGTACAGAGACACACTAATTAATGTCAGTTAAAGGTTTGAATATTGCGAAATAGATCAAATAAATCATAATTATATTTTGATAGCTTACACACATTGATAAGTTTTTGTTTTTGGTAAAATTTTGATCAAAATTATTGCCCGCGATCAAACCAATTGTAGGAATTGCTTTGTTTTTAACAAGCTAATTAGTTGTAAGCATCACCCAGTAAATAATACAGCGAATACTCCTGTATATCTACTGTTGACTTAAAATACCAGTGATGATAACCTACACTGACTGGTCATCGAAACAACAATAACATGTAATATTCACTATCACTTAATTTAATTTAAAGTAGGAATCTAATAAACTATACACCATCATTTTTTAGAGTAATGGTTAGTAAGCAGTAGTGTTCCTTTCAATAACTTCTTCATATTTTTCTTCTAGACATCCACTTTATTCAGCAACAGTAGGCTTTTGTACACAATATTGAATCACTAAAACAAACAATCACGCACTACAAATCATATTCTTATATTAATAACATTGAAATCAATTCTTATACCAGTGCTTAAATATTTTATACTGGTGTGAATAATCCAAGACTGCATTAACCAGATTGCTCTGTGAAATGGTAGTGAAGGTATAGCAGATTAGCATGCTAGTGTTGAAAGGCTTAATACACAGACTTTAAACTAATTAATCTGTGTCTATTTATCGATAATCATTATGAAGCCTCATGAAATAATGAGAGTTGACTTTCTGTGCTATTTGTGTTCAGATTAGCAAATATCTAGTTGAAAAGTTAAATAGGATTACCTTTGGATAGTATCGCGCGACTGTGAAAGAAATGCTGTTAAGGTATGACGCAGTATTGCATTAAAAACTTATTTCTCTTTGTTAATTTCAGATGTATTTTGCCACTTGTTCGACCTTTGTGTGACCCAGTTTATGTACGGTTTTATGGCTTCTTTTTGGAAATATTAAAATTTTTCACGCATTTTACATGCATGTGGTAGAAAGTGGTAGTCAGCTAGTATTGGGATTATTTCGTCTTTCATTTTTCTATTTATGTTGTATACTGTATAAAACTTCGTTGCGAGAACTACTGCAGACATAAATAGAATTATTAGCTAAATAATGTCAAACACGCCGTTTGTCACTTATGAATAGGTTATAGTTACTTTACTCTGATAGCTACAGCTAAGGAGAATAGGGTTTATATGCAAAGTTTTTGTTTCTGAATTTGTTATACGAATCCAGTTTTCCAATGGATCCTGACTTTCATAAAGGTTGTATAAAGCCTATATCAAAGAAAGTCACTTTACATACACAATAAAAAAACTGTTAGCCATATACAATACTAGGAAGTCATACACAGACTTTACACCACACATCTGGGAAACAGTTAAATACTCTATAATTTCACCTGGCTCCATAAGACGTTTAATAGGTTTTGCATAAGCACATTCATAATTAATTAATCTTCCTGAAATATATGATGCACTTGAATCATTCATGAAAATTTTGAAATCACATCAACTTCTGGGCGGAATTTTTCGACCACCATATGCTGTGTTTTATGTTTATCATTTTATTTTCAAACAAATGTGATACAACAAAGAATTAAAAAAATTAACCACACAAAGTAATTCAACAGTATTATTGAATGAAATCAAGATAAATAATAATGGAATGTGTGAAAGCACAACGTTGCTTTTTGTATAAGATTTTCGCAGATTAGCTGTCAAGTTTTGAGAAAGAACAAGGAAGTTTCAGCATTATCGCCAATAGTTTTCGTTTTGAATCATGTCTGCTGATTTTTCAAGCTGTGTGGTCGCTGATTCTCTTCAGATTTTGCACAGAAAGTCAGAATGCAGCAAATCAAAATGAGCCGCTCATTTACTACAAATATAACTGTTTTTTGATAAGAAATACAGGAAATCAGCTTACGGTACAGACGCTTAGTGTGCTTCGAAGTCACAGAAGCGGATAATTTAAAATGACCTGGGTAGCTGAGGTTTGACCTTCAACCATGTGGATTGCACGCGACTGAGCACTACTATCCACTTCGAATGTAAACAGTGAGACAAAGATAATTGAAACAGGTTAAATAGATTAAATACTTTCATCGTTGGGCAGGAATGCTCATAAAGAAGAGTTATGCAACCCTATTGAATTCACTATAGTACTGTTGTTTAACATACGTAGATATTTCCCTCGCGTTTTCACTAAATAACAGCTTAGAACAGACACTAGACTTCTGCATCTATGACTTTAATACTACAGATTAAACAGTGGTTAGCTTGCAATTAATTGTGTAGGTGAGAATTTAACACTTTTGAGGTAATTTTATTCACAATCAACCAGTTATATGCCCGTATCAGTACATAAGACAGAGTAGTTACTGCGCGAAGTTTAAAAATAAATATTTATAATGTCATTTTTGGATTTATTTTTTGTTACTGAAGAAAGCACAATTATGTTTCCGTTTGTCCTTTACAAAAAAGTGGTTAAGAAGTATAATCATTCTTGCACTTATTTTATTTAATTTATACCAGTGTTATAAGTGATAACAGAAGCAGAAATGACGCTTCATTCCCATGCAAAACAGTATTATAGTGTTTACTGAATATACTCGTAAAACTGTACATGTAAGTAGTCACTTTCTTTAACACCACTTTTAAACAAAATCATCAAACATACTAAGTGACCATAAATTATGTGAAAAAGAACAGCTTTGAGGAAAAACAACTTGTACAAAAGTATAATAGATAAAAAATATTTTCACCATATCATTATTATTACTTGTTCGTGACATGCACAAGTAGTAATAGCAAAATGAGATAATTATGTTTATATATATATATATATATTATTAGCATGCAGGTAATTCTTAATCCAGGAATATAGAATATATAGAATCTTTCGCAGTTGCTGCCAACAGTAATTCATTAATACTCTTGTTTGTACTAGCTAGTGGAATGTGTTTTATAGGATATGACATTGCTCCATGATACTTATGGAGTGAAGGGTTATATATATATATATACCTTTCATGTAAAGGTGATTTTATTAAGATGTTCATATTTAAACATTAATTTATCCGTTGACAATATCATTAAATTCTTCAACCAGTAGCTTCTCTACTGTGAATACTACTATTAGTAATACCACTACTGCCACAGTTGCTGTTTTGTCCACTGCATATACTGCTACCACATTCGCTTTGATTACTGCAATTTCTTATTAAACATAAATTTTGTTGTTCATCCATTTCCATTGTATTCGATGGATATGTATGTCTAATCATTTTTGATAAATGAACATTGATTGATGTAGTATGATACCTCGAATCATTAGACACACTGCCACTTGAAGTGTTGTCTGGATACAAATTAGGAGCATTATTATTAATACAACTTTGACTTGTCTGTAGCTGACTTGAATGAAGGTGTGAATAATCACTGTTGAATATAGGTGATACATACTCTGATAAAATCGGACTATTTCTACCAACAGAATTATTGTAGACTCCACTTGCATGAAGATAATTCCGACAAGAATGATGTTGAGTGGAAAGTGATAGAGAAGGATAAGGTGTATTTATTGCCGTTGTAGTGTTATGCATATACAGGTTATTTGAAATCACTGATGACCATTGGTCAGTCAAAGACATGGTTGCTGATATACCGTCATCAGAAGAAGAAGCTATTGGACAATTAGATGAATTATTAGATGTAAAATTTGTTGAATCAAGTGAACAGAGTGGTTTTAGATTTTGTGTCATCGTTTGGAATGCATTAGGAAATAATGATGATGTTTGGAATGACAAATTACGACTAGATAAAGGATTCTGACAACCGCTGCTATTACTATTAGTAGTTGTGCTGACATTTATCATGAGATCATTATTTTTATTATCAAAATTAGTGTGGCTTCTACCCAGGCTAGTATTTGGTGATCGTGATTCAATTAATCGTTGTTTCATGCCTGGTAAATGATGCTCCTTTTTCCATTTCATGCGACGATTTTGAAACCATATTTTAATTTGCCTCTCAGACAATGTCAAGGTGTGTGCTATCTCTAATCGTCTTTTCCGAGTTAAGTACTTATTGTAGTGGAATTCCTTTTCCAGTTCTAATATCTGTTGACGTGTGTATGCGGTGCGTGTACGTTTTGGGTCGTTTGGTTGAGTTATATAGTAGATATCGTCCATTTCATCTAAGGAAGAAGAAGATAAAGGGTCTGTGATACATTTAGATGACTTGATTAGGTCTGTAGATAATTCCATCAGGTAACCATGTTGTTTATGGCGACGTTCCTGATCACCTTCTGCCCAGCTGACTCGACCTGCTGTATTTTCCTGTGCAGCAGTTGTTGCTCCTACTGTCTGTTCTTGAAAGAATGAAGATGGAGGTGAAAATGGTTCATTCAAACCAAATTGATCAGTGCCACTGTGTTTCACACTAGATTTCAGCTCAGTGTGTTTAAAATGTCCTGTATGATGCTGATGACGCTGTACTACTTCACTGGTTTCTAACTGTTGAATTGGATTTACTGATGTAGGCTGTTTTTTAACCTGATGCTTTGTAGTCATAGACTTCCCGGTGGTTTGTTTAGAAGCTGCAAAGGTATTTTAAAAGGGAAATGGAGATAATTAATCACTGAATGGACCCATTAAAGTAGAAATTCATTAAATTATTACAAACAGTTTATATATATATATATATATATATATATATGAGACTCATAGACTGGTGTTGATGCAGTTGGTCATGACTGCAGATGAAATGAAAGTTTGTGTCACGATAGGACTCCAACTGAAGGCCTGTGGATTACTACTAGGATACCGTACCATCTAATCTAAATGACATCTGACAACCAGGTCATAATTTCAATGTGATTATCCATGACAGTGCCTTCCATTTATCAACAAACTATATACTCAGTTAAGTTTTCTCCTCTCAGTTCATCATGATTCACTGTGATTATTGTTAATTTTGTTATCATTATCTGTGAAGGCAAGAAGTTGTGACAAGTTCATATAAGCGTTCTTAAAAAGTAAGTTATTCTCAGATATAGTATTACTGACCGGTGTGGGAAAATGAAAACATTTAACAGAATCGTAAGTCACTTCCATATGAACAGCAAACATATGTCAACAGATAAGTATGTCTTTCATGACATTAGAGATAAGAATGAGTAACACTTCCTATCTATCAACAAAAATTATAGACAATGAGATCTAAAGTAAGTTACAACTCTTCCAAACGAATTTTGTAGGAAATCATAAAAGTTTTATGAACATTATCAGTAGAGTATCACATGAACAAGACTTTTCTTTTCGTGAATTTATTCAGAAAGTTAATTGTATGAATATTTATGAATATTCCCTTTAAAGTATAACGAAGTTTAGACCAGATATTTTACTAAATGCATTTATTTAAAGATTTAGATAAAATAAATTATGTCTCAATAGTTTACACACAATGATAAGTTTTTGTTTTTGGGTAAAATTTCGAGCAAAATTACTGCCTGTGATCACACCAACTGTTGGAATTGTTTTGTTTTTAATTCACACTTTTATGATTTTTATTCATATATATATGGTTCTTCTTTTGTCCATTCATTTTTGTGTACCCAGAATTATATTCCAGGTTGTTGACAGTTGGGCTGAGTCACCACTGTTACATGTATGATCAAGTAATTAATGTAGTTAATGACATGGCTAATAGAAGAGACCAAGATTCAGATTTCATGCTATTTGGGATGGTGTTCACAATGAGATTCTGTGAAATTATAATACTATGATATTATTTGAATACAAAGCAATATTTCAATGTTAACAGAGCTTTTCATATTCTATTACTACTGAATGCTACTCATAAATTTGAGAAAATTAAATCTCTGATCGAATTTCAAGGTATCTTGATCAGAGGCCTATTCACGAAGGGAATTTTGACTTCGTGTAATCTAGTACACCACAGAAATAAACTGGTATCGAATTGGTTAGATCAGTTCAGTAATCAGATTTTAATAAAAATTAATAGAATCATCCAAAACTTTCTAGATACTAATTTGTGGAATTGTTTTTCAAACAGATTCATTTCAACAGGATTTTTGTGCTTCACTCACATTCATTTATATTATAGCCGTAAAAGAATTAGGGTAATCAATGCTAACTTTATATCTATGTCGTTCTCGTATGAAACTCTTAATATACCCTTCGTCAGTAGGACATCAAATTTTTAGTCACATCTAAATAACATTTGTTTTGTATGTCATCTAAACTTTTTATTTCATTAAACCTTTATACGTATATGTCACTTGTAAAACAGACTTAGATTCCAGTGTTTCATATTTGTCAAATATCTTGTCATTTATTTTAATTAATACTCCATCACTGTAGAGAAGTGAAGCATTTTATTATTATCGTTACCTATCCCCACTTAATTTAATTATGTTGTTCACCAATCTTACAAAAAACAACAAAAAATGTAAATCACGCCGAATGCCACCTTCCCCCCCCCACCAATAAGCACACTTCTCACTCCAGCTTCAGATGATTTGTTTCATCCCTTGCTTTATGAATAGAAAACATAACTTCCAGGTTTGAAGTTCTATTAAAGGTGGTTATGTTTTCATGGGGTGGAGTTGCTAGCCTCACTCCCATCCACCACTATTTTGCGGGTTTAATATCGACTAGTAAACTTGGCGAGGTTTCGGAGACGAAGTGACCATTGATAGCAAACGTTGAGAATTAACTCAAACTAATGCTAAAGTAAGGCTCATCATAAACATGTCTCAAATAAAATTGTGATTATAGACAAACAGACAAACATGTATAAATGTCGGCGTATATGAAAGAGAAACCACAGGTATGATTTATTGAGTTTCACCTTTAACCTAAAAAGGAACCTATTTTTATCAACAACAAAAAAAAAAACAGTAGTTCATCTTTGAGAATTTGTGAGTTTCAATAGTAAAATAACCGGTTTGCTGAATGGCATATAAAACATGCAGTAGACATGAATGGAAAAGAATAAAATGTGCAGATAATTTAATGAATAAGGCCGTATTTGAAAGTCCCCTGGAGCAAAACTATACAACAAATATGATCACAGTATTTTATACTAGTTGGTGATCAGCCCAATTACTAACATCTATCGCCTTTCAGGATATACAACTGACTATCTGTCTAAGTAGGCAAGTGAGTCTTGTCAAAATGCCGCCGTTGCAAATACTACAAAAAACAAACAAACATACACATCCACATACATACGCATACAACATGCATTTGAAGCTAAGAAACTACATGTAGAAGTCAGGTTCATCTAATAGACTGAATTTTGCGTTGAACAGCTTGTTTGGCATACCCGTTAACATATAATTGATTTAAAGGCATATATAAACTGCAGCTACATAAAAACTACCCTACCCTGCCAACTTCAAATTTATCCTACACTTAAAAATACGTTGACTGTATATATTTCAGGAAAGAATCTGAGACGCCAACACATGAACAAAACGGCTGACCTTCGACTGTTAAAGGGCCAACACACGTACACACACAACACAAACACACATAGGTTAATATATCTTTAAAGCACCACGATACATATTTGTTCCAACACAATCCATAGCATTTTTTATAAATGAATCCTTTATCATGACACAATTTCTCTAGTACTGGTAACAACGGAAAAACTTTTCATATTCTTATATATACATATATATATATGACTATCATGATCAAAGAAGTATTTTACACTAAACACTGCAATACACAAAGTGACAAGGCCAAAAATGTACAAAAAATAAGGGAAGAAAATAGAATGTGTGTGCATTCTAAGTAAAAAGTAACCATCGGATCTTGTAGTCGGATAAGTGGTATTCGCATATATAGCGTACCACAAAAGTGTACATCTGTTAGATGAAACGAATACGGATAGATAATATAAAGGTATATATATACTGCATACATAATATACACTGCACACACTTGTTGATTCAAATAATTATTTGAACATCATGTTGTTAAGTTTTCGGCAAAAGTTACCTGAATGGACATTTTTCGGAAAAATCCGTGAGAAAGATGTTATTCCCTTCTTTTTTGCTTAGTCTTCATTCGGCTTTATCTATTGACAGTGTGATAAATTAAGGTCTAATGAATAATGTACAGTTGTTATGGTAGTGCTTTTAACTAGTTGAAATGTCAGCATTGATTATAAGTATGTTGAAGTACTACTAATTTAATATGCACACTAATATGTATTACTATCGGAAGTATTTTTATTTTCCAGAAAATGGAAATTTTAGGGAAAGATTTATTAAGACAGTTTTGTATTAGTGTGAGAGTTAATAGGCAACTAGTAGGTACTACTGAAGTGATAATAAAATGCACAAAAAATAAAATGTACTATGACAACAATCTACTGGCACTGCAAACATGATGTTTTAGGCTTACGCATTTTGCAAACATCTGTTGTAAGAAACACCTAGATCAGTTGAAAACACACCAGCAATGTTTCTTCAATTTCACTTTCGTCCGCTAACCGAGTGAACTCAGTCATAATGAAAAGTTACTATAAAAAAGAAAATCTCTGAGAGTTTTTCATCATTGGATCTAATATTTTGTAGATTACTTCAAGTTAAGTCTTGAATTCATGGTTAACTATTTTTTAAGTTTGTAATCCTTAGAGCAGAATAATTTGGAATTTAATTGAAAATTAAAACATGAAATATTTGAATAATTTTAAGAAAATATATTGCTAGGTCATTACGCAAGTCATTGTATTTGTACAGACAAAATAACATTTTACAAAAATCACTATGAGCAGCTTTAATAAAAGTTCAAATAAGTGTATTTTATTCTCTTATATGGGAAATCAGTATTTAGACAGCTGGAAATTTTTGGTTTAGTGTTCAGATAATCTTTAATCATTTCAGACGAAAAATATACTGATCACTTAGTTTCATGTTCACTTTTGTTTGTATAAACATTTAACAGTCATTGTTTGCACTCCCCATATTCACTTTTTTCACTACAATTCAAGTGTACAACTGTGAAAGTTCACTGAAAAACGGAAAACCCATTTGCTCGTGTACTGATGGACAACAGTGAAATCAAGATTGCTTATTTTCTCCTCTTAGGACGCGTTCAGTTGAGTCTACCAACATCCCTCTAGCTGCTAATAATATGACAGAGATTCGAACCTACCACCCGTTGTTCGGAATTTCAAACGTTTCTTCACAAGTCTACCGAGCCATTTAATTCACAGAATAATACATACTTATGACTTCTTGGCTTCATTTTGGTACATGGGTTTCTTAAATGGGTGCTTTGAAATTACCTTCATTTAAAACTTCAAACTACTTGAGGTTGTTTTTAATTATTTCAATAAGAACCAATAGCCAATTTTGTTATGGAGCATATTATAACTAATGGTGTTTTGCTTTTACACCTTATATACTCTTATGATTACTACACTTTTTTATTCTACACAGACTTTTTGAAATCTGGAAGCATTTAAGAATAAGTTACTAATTCACTGTATGATTAGACTTCATGAGAATTCAGTCAGCTTGGTAGAAAAATTGAGTTCTAAACAGATCAGTTCTAC